TTGAACATTTGCAGATGTAACTTCAATACTGGTGTCATTAATATAAATTAGGAGGAAGAAAAAAATAAGTGAGCAAAGAAATTTCCATTACCAGAGTATGCTTCGAAGAGAAGTGAATGACGGCAGAAAATGAACATCCACGCTTTTTGCGTACAGCGCTTCTGAACACAATATAGCTGAGCTGCTGCTACAAAGTATGCAGAAGAAGGGATGATCAAACCTTGCCATTGACCCAGAGGTAAGTTGACTTTGAATCGCTCTCTTTGTCGTGCATGTCATATCGATGTTGATACACTTCGTGTGAGACAAAAACACCTTCGCCCTCGCTAGCCCGCCCGATAGGGGCGTCTTCGGTAGCCCAAACACGGGCGTGTACACCAGGAGACGTGACTGGGGCGGGCAATTTGCCTGTGTCATTAATTGCAACTTCGGTGATGTTGCGGTAACTGAATAATGGTAGCACAGAACCACCAAGATTGGAGCGAGTAAACCATCGCTTGAAGGAAGACGGCCATGTTGGCTTGGTAGATGGTTCAGTCTGACCTTGGTTTCCCGTGACCAATGCGGTTTCGGCATCGCCGTTACTCACAGCCGGAATGGAGTCAAGGGCAATAGAGTGACTGCGAGAAAAGTCGGCGTATGCATCGCCAACCGAGGCGGTGGAATCAGATTTGGATGACCAAAGCAAACTTTTTGCTCTACTCGATACACTGCTGGTCCATGACTTGGCAGCTATAAAGCTCGAGGGCGTTCGCTGCCCATTCCGTCTCGGCTCGTGCAGACTCGGCCATACTTTGCCCAGGCCCATGCTGACCATGACCTTCCTATAAAAATTGTATGCATCAACGCCAGTGCCGAAGAGCAGGAAAACAATGTACCCAGTAATCACCTGGATCCATTTGTCGTAGGAGACCTTGCCTTTCACTGGTACGTGAATGATGGTGTTGAATCTGACTGGGTCATGAACGTAGGACCAGAAATACGATTCAGTGAGGACAAAAGAAGCTTCGACAGTGATGTAGATGGAATAGGTGAGATAAACCAGGCTGATTGTCATGCTGAGAATGAAGAGTCGGACAAAACGAGATGTTGTGGTGTTCTGAGCTACGACTAGGCTGTGGAATTCTTTTCGGTAGCGATAGAGGCGATATACAAGTAAGACTGTTAAGCTATGTTAGCGGTGATGTGTTGAATTTAGGGTTCTCGTACAAGGAAAGAGACTCACTCGACCAAAATGTGGCAAAGGCCATGGTAATTGGAAACCACATGATACTCAGGACGAGACTTGGCCATGAATTATCATAGGTAGATTGACAGCCCACGATGCCGTAGATGGTGTAGCGGGCCGGTTGAACAACGTAGTAAACAATGGCCAGGACCATTGGGGCCCCCCAGCACCATACCGATTCCCAAATTTTCTCTCTGACCCTGCTGCTGCGACTGCTTGAGACGGTAATGTTGCGAGTGTCCATGACCCTAGCCAGCTTACGCGTGATCATTGCCGCAGATGCTGCAACGCCTACGTAGCTCGCAACCTGGATCCGCACATGGATATCGCACCACACATTGCCATCCCACCATTCTAGCAGGTTGTCACGTGGCCATATGAGAGCGTTGATGGAGTTGAAGAAGTTGTGAAGGATGATCCACAATACGTTTGAGCCAGCGGCAATGTTGGCTTGCCGGAAGTGCCAGACCATTGCTGGAACGCAGAGTATCCATGCCGGGAAGGCGAAGGCTGGGAAAAGGATTGCTTGGGTATAGATGGGAGCATCCATCGAGTACCCTTGCGGGTAGGCTGTGCCACTATCGAGGACATCTACCGCCCCGGACGGCATCGCTTAGGTTGTCGGTGCTTGGAGGATTGGCGAATATGGACGACGCTACGACACAAGAAATTTGTTAGGATGTGTCGAGTAAATTTATGGGAAAGTTGAGATGGAGAAAAGTATAAGGTTAGGGTGGATTGTGGCGAGAGGTCCATCACAGGCCGCGCAGCTTTTGGGAGCTCGTACTGTGGGTGAGTGCAGCAGAGAGCTCAATAGAGTGAGTTGTTGTCTCAATCTTCAATAATGTTCAATAGATGCCGTTGAATAACTTACGCTCACTTGAGTGGTGAAAGTCGGTCGTTTCGCTCCACAGCCATCTTGGCAGAGCCACTCGTCGAGCCGTTTGGAGACCTGTTCAAACAGATTGTTCCGTCGCACCGACACAGGGGGACTTGGTGTATGTGATGCCTGGTTGTAGTTGCAAAGTCGGTGGCGATAGTGGTGAGACTTTGGCCAATCCGCTTTTGGGTCTGAATAGGAAAAGCGGCCAAGATGGTACATTGTGAATAAAAGTCGAGTAGATGGGAGGCGAGACATGTTTGTGATCATAATCGAGGCAATGACAGAGAATCTCATGTACACTTTATGTGTTGAGTTCGCTTCTGTGGCTCAGTGCAGATTAGGGCATACAGAAGGCATCTATCCACAGTGAGGGGTACTGTCACGTCGAGCAGGGTTGCCAACTCCAGGGGACCAAACATGCATCTGTACTCATGTTCAAGTAGTGCACAGAGCTTCCTGTGTTGTCAGAGTCCGAAGGCCGGTGTGCTGGGGGAGAGGGACAATGTAGCAGAAGCAAAGACGAGCTGCTCAATTGAGTCAATGGTGCTTGCGGCTTTGCATGGCTGTTTCCCACCAAGCACAGCTCGCCGTGTTGCTTCTTCCCGTGTAGCGCGTTGTGGGCAGGCGGTCCGACTGCAATGTGGCCAGGATTGCGACATGGCGACCCGACGGTGCATGGTTGGCGATGGCAGAAGGAAAGAGGCTCGACAGCTCTAGCTATGTAGTATGTATCCAATGCACCACCATTGCGACCGCTCGCATCGGCGGGTACCAAGTATCGGATGACGTAACCCGCCTGGGGAGATCCGAGGCGTCTTCCACTACCTACGGCACACGACCGCCGGCCTGGCGCATGCGAGACTCGCCCACGGCTTCAGCTATGCATTGCCAGCGCCTGTGCCCATTCGCACGACCACATCGATACGCATCCCCGAGCAGCGGCGGCTTTTTCCCGCCATCGTCCCGGGCATTTTGTCGGTGACGCTGTACATACATCAGTACTACTACATCCGTAAATTGATACACGACGTTTGCGTGTTGGCCAGCTCTCGCCTGCCACGCCCTCGCAATGGATGGCGCGCCCCCATCCGACAGCCATGCCATTCCTCCCCAGCTGCGCCACAGGATGCTGAACCGCGCTGCAACCTTTGGCGAGGGTGCACAGCCGTCGACGCCGCCCACCGCAGTCTCTCGCCGCCGCAGTTCTCTTGTGTCAGACCTCTCGGACACGCGGCCTTCACTCTGGTCCTCGACAGACAACCTGCTGAGGACGAGTGCCAGGTATGACATGGACAGACAAGACGCCGCCTCGGATGAGCCCTCGCGGTGGATTGCGCTGCCCGTCGTTGCTGCGGTTGTGCCTGCCATCATTGGCCTGACGGTGGAGAATGGCGCCGTGATTGCGACGGATGTGCTGATATTGGTCCTGGCGGGCTGGTTCCTGCATTTGAGTGTCAAGGTGCCGTGGTAAGCTGCAGCCAGCCATTGCAGGCCGACAGCGTGGACAGAGCGAGCCTCACTGACAGGGCGCAGGGACTGTTACCATGATGCCCAGCAGAGACGATATATCAGCCATGAAGCCGACGACGATACGTACGACGACACCATTCATCAAGTAAACGAAAACGACGTACATGGCATAGCCGAGGGTCATGGCGACACAGCAAGCCAGGAGCAGGCCGATGTGAGCCCTGCGCCGTCAGTGACATCGCCAGCACAGCAGGAAGCTCGCGAGGCTCTGAAGCGATCAGAGCTACGGGCCTTTGTTGCATGTTTCCTGGGTCCGCTTCTCGGGGCGCTCCTTATGCATACTGTGCGAGGGCAGTTGATGCGCGCCGAAGGCATAGTCTCCGATGCCAACCTGAGCATCTTCCTACTGATTGCAGAGATTCCGCCAGTAAACCGCCTAATCAAGATGCGTACTGAGCGCATATTGCACCTCCAGCGCATCGTGCGAGATGCTCCAAGGGACCCTATCCGACCCGCCGATGCGCAACAACTCTCGCAGCGTATAGCCGAGCTTGAAAGCCGTCTCGACGGCGCCTCCTCTTCCAACAACAAGAATGCCAGCCAGATAGATGTAGAGAAACTCAGCGCCGAAATCCGCCAGACTACTCAACTGCAACTCGATGCGCTCAATCGCGCCGTCAGACGATATGAGAAGCGCCATATGGCGCAAACCCTCCAGATTGAGGCCCGTTTTCAAGACCTGGAGGCTCGCCTTCAAGATACACTCGCGCTTGCTGCAGCTGCAGCCAGAACTGGCCACCGGCCAGGCATCATCACTGTGACACTTGTTTGGATAGCTGGGACAATTAGTAGCATATTGCAACTGGTCTGGGATATCTCCATGTATCCCTTCCGGACCGCGGCGATTGTGTTATCAGTCATAAAGTCGATGTTTGTCCCGGACAAGCAGCAGACCAGACCGCGGGCAAAGGGAGGGCAAGTCAATGGACATACGTCGATATCATCGAGTAGGATGCAGTCCAAAGTTGGGCGATGAAAGTGTCTAATTACTAATTTCCTTGAGTATCCTATCAAATACAAGTTTGCTCGTCTACCCTATCCCCGGTCTTTTGCTTGCACGAGATAAACGTATCATGCCGGTCCTTTGCTAGTGCCCGGCCTGGGTGAGCGATGCGACGTTACATGCATTGTCAATTGTCAAGAGTCATGCTATCTTCCGGCTCCCTCCGATCCAGTAAGCCGACATGCAGGTACGGAGCGGCTCTCTCTAATGCGAGCGACGGAGATAACTGGGAGCGTTGCTGTCTGTTCAACGTACCCCGCCCCACCTATATGGCCTATCGGAGCCGAACACGGAGGGAGGTGTCACATTGCCATTACGGCAGTAATAAGATGTACACCTTCTGGGTCGCTTCTGCCCTTTTTTTCATTCCAAGACTTTTACTTTTTCTCCTTGACCCAAGGCTGTGTTTGTTAAAGAAAGAAAAGAGACAGCCAAAAGCTATCCTACATACGACTTGATCATGTCGCTGAAATCAGACGTGACCGTAGATGCGTCCAAGTTTGATCGCAGCACCATCGATAAGCAGACGCTGGAGTTTAACGACAGATTGATCAAAATATGGGCAGATGGACCAAGATGGTATGAGGTATGTGCTGATACTCACCTTCAATCCTCCGTAGTTTTTTTTGGCTATGGAGCTTACATGCAAAAAAAGGTTGGCGCAGCAGAGTACCGAAAGATGAGATGGGAAGGCAAGACGCCATTGCCAAAACCCATTGTTCTCCCTGAAGGTGTCAACGGAGCGCTGCCTTCGCGAGAAGCCGGAAGAGAAATTCCGTATCGTGTCTTCAAGCCGAGCAGCGGCAAGAGCAATGGAATTCACATGCACATCCATGGTGGCGGATGGGTTTTGATGAGCGAGGCTTAGTAGGTTCACCACAGTATTTTGTGATGCACAACAAACAGAAAAAAACTGACCATTTTGCGTAGCCAAGATCCGTATCTCAAGTACATGGCCGATCATTTTGACGTTACAGTTGTATCAATTGGATACCGACTTGCGCCCGAAGACCCCTGGCCCGCAGGCGCAGAAGACTGTTATGACGCCGCTGAATGGCTAGTGAAGAACGGACCAACAGTCTTTGGTGGAGAATTGATGTTCACAGGTGGTGAAGTATGGATATCCTCAAATCATCTCAAGCAAGCCAGAACTTGAAAGCTGACGAATGCATCTAGTCTGCTGGGGGTCATCTGGCCTGCCTAGTTGCCTTGCATTTGCTGGAAACGATGCCAGAGTTTTCATTCAAAGGCTTGCTTCTTCATTTTGGCTGCTTCGACATGTCCTCATTCTTACCACACGTTTTGCACCACGAGACACATCTGGTAATCGACCACGATGTCATGAAATCGTACATTGACGCCTTGCTCCCCAACACAACAGAAGAGCAGCGTCGCGACCCGTCGATAAGCCCATTTTGGGCTGATTTGAGGGGAAAGAAGTTGCCACCTGCATTGTTCACGTGTGGAAGTGAAGATCCGCTGCTAGATGATAGTGTCATGATGGGTAGCAAGTGGGCCATGTGGGGAAATGAAAGCATAGTCAAGATCTATCACGGGGCACCCCATGGGTTTATCGGATTTCCGCCCGGCACAATCAAGGCGGTGCAAGACGCATTAGATGATACAGAGGCGTTTGTGAGGGCGAAGAGAGGGTCATAGGGTGTTGCAGTAGACAGTTTCTGGTTGGTCAAATCAGAGTATTGCTAATACATGCTTGTTCCCACAATGTCGCCCAACTGCCAATCCCAGATAGTCAAAGAATGAACAATATAAGCCAAGACGAAACCCACCTTACTACAACCATGGCTTGCAGTTTGCAAATATTTGTTCATTTTGCACGCCATGTTAAACAGTATTGCTATTGCTATGGTGGTGTCGGGATCAAAGTACCATAAACGGAGGCTGGGCCCTGACTAGCGGAAGTAACCGTGTTTCGTCATAGCTAGCAAAGCACGGCCGACGATTATCCTCCAAGTCAGTCGAACCGAGACGCGACCTGGAAAACTTGGTGTCTCTTTCTTCCCCCCCCCTCTCTCTCTCCCATGCGCGCCATGGCCAGGTAGCCCAACAAAAAGAAAACTTGCCTAGCGTCATCATGGCAGACAGTGAAAGTCCTGACCGGCGGTCGTCTCGGAGGAGGAGCGGTATGTACCGCCGTGGCTCCCATATCAGCGAGTATGTGCTCCAGGCAACTTGAAGCCATGCGCGACTAATTGGCCTAGGGCAAGCTTCATGGAAGATGTCGAAATGGCCCAAGATGAGGTATACGAACTCGCGCCCATGGCTCCTCCCCGTCCCCCGTACAAGCCTCGCGGTAGTAAGAAGCCGGACCAGCAGCTGACGCCCAAAACAATCCAGGTCTTCTCCGGTCCCATGAGCGAGAGCGTCCCTACGAGTGTGTCTGGATTCCGACACCGCCGTTCGCGCGCAGACTCGAGCGCCAGTCTGACAAGTTTCGCATTCTACGATGAAGAGCAGGATTCGGGTGAGGGCACAGAGGACGAGGATAGCGCCATACTGGAAGATGGGGAGAGCGTATACAATGGCTATGCCGAGGAGAATGGCGAAGAAATCGAGGATCTCGAGGCTGGCCTGTCGTCTTCCTCGCCCTCGCCCTCGCCATCACGGCGCAAGTCGAGCGGCGGCAGCAGGAAATCATCGGAACGGCCCCTGCTGCGAAGACGCTCCTCGACAGGCAGCGCGGGCTCGGGCGCCGACTGGAGGGGACGCAGGTCGAACCAGAAGATCTACATCATGACTGAAGATCTGACCATTGTCGTTGCTGGCTTTAGAACGTCGCCCTTTGGCTACGCCCTGTATGCGCTGCTGTGCGCCACCACACTGGGTCTCGGCTGGCTCATGTTCAGATGGTTGCCGCGATGGAGGGTAGCCATTGTGGGAAAGAGTGCACCCTTGAAAGAGTGCGACTGGATTGTTGTCGAAAACCAGTGGGGAGAATTTGCGGTGCAGACCATCAGTCGCCAAACCTACGGACGCTCGCTGTCCACCGTCTTCGGAGACCCTGAAAAGGGCCGTCCGAGAGAATGGGACGAAGATGATGATCCACTCATTCGCGAGCTGCGATGTTTGGATTACCGCTATATCCGCTTCGTCTACCACCCCATAAAGGATAAATTTGTGCTGGCCAATACCTGGAAAGACCCCAGCTGGACTGATGTCCTGGCTCTCCGTGAGGGTCTCGACAATGATGAGCGCGACTACCGTGAGTTAGTCTTTGGCAAAAACATGATCGACATCGCCGAGAAGACGGTCGGCCAGCTTTTAGTCGACGAGGTTTTTCATCCCTTCTATGTTTTCCAGATTGCCAGTTTGATCCTGTGGTCTCTCGACGAGTACTACTACTACGCCTGTGCCATTTTCATCATTTCTGCCGTTAGTATCGTCACAACACTGGTGGAGACCAAGGCTTCCATGAGGCGCCTGCGCGAGGTGTCCAAGTTCGAATGCGAAGTGCGCGTATTGCGCAGTGGCTTCTGGACGCATCTCGATTCTGCTGAACTCGTACCTGGAGATGTTTACGAAGTCACTGATCCTGCACTAACGCAATTCCCATGCGACAGTTTACTCTTGTCCGGAGACTGCATCGTCAACGAGAGCATGCTGACGGGCGAGTCTATCCCTGTGTCTAAAATTCCCGTCACGAACCAGTCGCTGGATCTATTGGATCTTAGCGCTTCCGCCGTTCATCCAGAGGTTGCCCGTCATATGTTGTTCAGTGGTACCAAGATCATCCGCGCCCGCAGACCGCATGAAGACCATGTAGACGATGAGGCTGCTGCGTTGGCTATGGTCGTCCGAACTGGCTTCAACACCACCAAGGGCGCGTTAGTCAGGTCAATGCTCTTTCCTAAGCCTTCAGGTTTCAAGTTCTATCGCGATTCTTTCCGATACATCTCCGTTATGGCCATGATTGCTATGATCGGATTTGTTGCTTCCTTTATCAACTTTGTCCATCTCGGCCTTGAATGGCACTTGATTGTTGTACGCGCGCTCGACTTGATTACTATCGTTGTCCCTCCCGCTCTTCCGGCCACTCTCACCATCGGTACCAGCTTTGCACTTTCGCGGTTAAAACAGAAGCAGATTTTCTGTATCAGCCCACAAAGAGTCAATGTCGGTGGTAAGCTTGATGTCGTCTGCTTCGACAAGACCGGAACACTCACCGAAGAGGGCCTAGATGTGCTGGGCGTCCGTGTAGTTGAGCGGCCTCGCAATAGGTTCAGCGAGCTTCTTCCGGACGCCTATGACATCTTGCCAGCGTCGCAGCATGATCGTGACCCAACTGTTGAATATCACGCCCACAAAACCATCCTCTACACCATGGCTACTTGTCACTCGCTACGCAAGATTGATAAAGAACTAGTTGGCGACCCGTTGGACGTCAAGATGTTTGACTTCACTGGCTGGAGCTATGAAGAAGGCGAGCAAAACGGTAACTCGGGCGATGAAGATCCTGAGCAGAAACTGTCGCCATCCGTTGCTCGTCCACCACCCGGCCGCGAATATGATGTCGACGACGTTGAAGATGAGGCCGGCCGAAAGCAAGTGGAGCTTGGTGTTATCAAATCGTTTGAGTTTGTCTCGCAACTGCGGAGAGCCAGTGTTATTGTACGACAGTTTGGGTCAAAGAGCGGACAAGTCTACGTCAAGGGTGCACCTGAAGTCATGAAAGAGATCTGCCGTCCCGACAGCTTCCCCACCGATTATGAAGAACTCCTCGCTTTTTACACACACCGTGGCTTTCGCGTCATCGCTTGTGCTACCAAGACCATTGCAAAGCTCAACTGGCTCAAGACTCAAAAGATGAAGAGAGAAGAGGCCGAAAGTGGCCTTGACTTTGTCGGTTTCATCATTTTTGAGAACAAGCTCAAGGACAGCACGGCTCCGGTTATCGAAGAGCTTGAACGCGCCAATATTCGCAAGGTCATGTGTACTGGCGACAACATCCTCACTGCCATCAGTGTTGCTCGTGAATGTGGCCTGATTAACAAGACGGCGCATTGTTTTGTCCCTCACTTTGCAGAAGGTGATTCACGCACTGCCTTGTCGAAGCTTAGTTGGGAAAGTGTAGATGACCCGGTTTTCAAGCTCGATGATACCACGCTCAAGCCTCTTCCACCGCCACCTGAGGCCGATGTATCCCTTCCGTATGACATTTCCAACCTGCGCAACTACAGCTTGGCAGTAAGTGGTGATGTCTTCCGCTGGATCGTCGACTTCGCATCCGAATCCGTGCTCCGTGAGATGCTCGTCTGTGGCCAGGTCTTCGCCCGTATGTCGCCCGATGAGAAGCATGAACTTGTTGAGAAACTTCAGTCGATTGACTACTGCGTCGGCTTTTGCGGTGATGGCGCAAACGACTGTGGAGCGCTCAAAGCCGCTGACGTGGGAATCTCTCTTTCCGAGGCTGAAGCGTCAGTTGCCGCTCCATTTACCTCGCGACAATTCGACATTAGCTGTGTGCCTCAGGTCATCAAAGAGGGTCGCGCAGCGCTCGTAACAAGCTTCAGCTGCTTCAAGTATATGAGCTTGTACAGCGCGATACAGTTTTGCTCAGTCTCATTTCTGTATGCCAGCGCTAGCAATCTCGGCGACTTCCAGTTCCTCTTCATCGACCTCTTGCTGATCCTCCCCATCGCCATCTTCATGGGCTGGTCAGGTGCATACCCTATTCTCAGCCGCAAACGCCCAACTGCAAATTTGGTATCCCGCAAGGTGCTCACCCCTCTGCTCGGACAAATGATGCTCTGCATCCTGGCTCAGTTCATTGCGTTCCATTTTGTCCAGAAACAGGAGTGGTATCTCCCACCGGTCATTGACAAGAACCACAGCAACTCGCTGAATTCGCAAAACACGGCCCTCTTTTTGACCAGCTGCTTCCAATACATTCTCTCGGCTGTTGTGCTCAGCGTGGGCAAACCCTACCGCAAGCCCATGTCTCGCAACCTCCCCTTTATCACCACCATTTTCGTCACGCTCGCCATCACCCTGTACATGCTGTTCGATCCCGCAAAGTGGGTCATGCAAGCCATGGAACTCACCTACATGGATGTTCCATTCAAAGTCTTCATCCTCACTCTGGGCTTGGGTAATTTCACCCTCGCATACGTGAGCGAGAGAGTGCTTTTCCCCGGTCTGGCCAAATGGATTGGTGTCGCCAAAGTCAAACTTGGGGGCAAGGGCATGCAAAAGAAGAGGAAGGAGTACAAGATTATTGCTGAGAGTATGCGCATGTAAATGTTTTTTTTAAAAAAAAAAATTCTAGCGAGTAGTATGTACTACGCGAAATCTGAGCAATGTTTTGAGATGAAGAACGAAAAAGAAAAGAATAGAGCGTTGGAGGTTTTTGATAATGACATTTTGTTTGGCCGAGTTGGATATAGAGGCGCTGGTGAAAGATGGGTGTTGTACTTGTGTTTCTTAAAGTTTAGTTTGCTAAATGGACCAAAAATTTCAGTGTCATTTGCAATGCGTCCTTTTCCACACGTGCACATCGGGCTAAGTAAAAACAAAAAGAGCGTGTCAGTGGGGTATCTAATTTGTATTTAATCTGATATCCGCTTTGCTTTCTTTGCTGCTTAACTATAAATGCATGTGCATACATATCGGCAGTTTGGGGCCAGCCTAGCCCCCGACACCCTTGATTTGGGGGTATGTGTATGCAGAGAGGAAATAGCTAGAAGTAGAGTGGAAAAAAAAGG